GATGGATGGATGGATGGATGGATGGATGGATGGATGGATGGATGGATAGGAGTATGAGCAACTCACAGTCCTTGAGCCATAAGCAGCTCTTAAGCCATTTTTTGGTGGCTGTGGTCAAGGTCACACTTTCACACTGCTGAAAGTTAATGACAAGCTATCAGGTAACACAGACAGACAGATAGCACGTACATGTATGCAATTAGTAAAATAGGTACGAACCACATTACTTAATGAGAAATAAATTTAGTTTTCTATCAAATGAATTAGAATTTTAGGAAATAGCTAGTCTGAATATGTGCATGCATGCAAGTTTGTATCCATGCACATCTGTGTCTATGTGCGTCTGAATATTATACAAAATGTATTAACAATTATAGCATTTAAATAAATGTAAATATGTGTAGTCTAGAATAAATGAACTAAAAAAGAATAAGAACAAACATAAAAAATAAAGATTTTAGCAAGTTCAAATCCAGCAAAAACACTATCAGGAAGCAGGTAAATTCATACTGGAACAAACTAAGGAATTTGAGACTGCAGAGAGCCAAACAGAGAAATGTGTTATATGATTGCTCTGATATATTATCCTTCTGCATGATGGAAAAAAGCTAGAGCTACTTATGTTTATATATCATAGGAAATAATGACATTTGCTTATTTCATACTCTGACTTTGTTCTGACTTTGTTTATAGAAATAAAGTTATATAAAATAGGGAGCAAACTACATTTTTTAACTTTATAGTCTCCTACTAATACTCTCTCCAGAAATATATATTAACTATCAGCATCTTTGTAATTATTCTCCATTCAGATTCTAGTTTATTACTGACTATATGCCTCTTCCCATCCACTTTCACTGTTTATTCTCCCCATTCAAAGCTGCATCTATCCTTCAAAGCTGACTTCCTTCTTTTCAGTTCTGCCCTAGGAACTTTTTTTTACCACATCAACATGATTCTATTTACTTCTCATTCCAATGCCACGAATGAGATAAGCTGAGGTCATTTTTAACTGTATTGAAGTTGAAGTAATGTTTTCCACCTTATTCTGACATTATCTAGTGAACGAAAGTTAAATTACTGGCAGTGATTAAGAACTGAGACAGAATAGGAATTAAGGAGGGAACAGCAAATTTAATGTTAACGGTTTTTTGTAACTCAAACTTGGGTGGCTAATTCTATAACTAAGACAATAGTGAATCTGAAAAAGCATGAAATGTTGGATAAAAATACACAAGGATCTAGGCAAAATATTTGAAATAGAAAATTCTAGAAAATGGAATTAATAACCAATCTTTCAGCTTTACCATGTTTGAAATAATAAACAAGTTCGCAAAATGAGCTTGATGGATCCTGTTCAAGGTTTAACTTCAAAGTAGTTCATACAGGAACCATTTTACTCATTTGAGCAAATCATCATGTCTCCAGACCTAAACCCTATTGAGCATCTGTGGGGCATCCTGAAATGGAAGGTGGAGGTTCACAAGGTCTTTAACATCCACCAGCTCTGTGACGTTGTCATGGGGGAGTGGAAGAGTACTCTAGTGACAACCTGTGAAGCTCTGGTGAATTCTATCTATGCCCAAGAAGGTTAAGGCAGTGCTGGAAAATAATGGTGGCCACACAAAATATTGACACTTTGGGCCCAATTTAGACATTATTACTTAGGGGTGTACTCACTTTTGTTGCCAGCAGTTTAGACAATAATGGTTGTATGTTGCGTTATTTTGAGGGAACAGTACATTTACACTGTTATACAAGCTGTATACCCACTACTTTACATTGTAGCCAAGTGTCATTTTTCAGTGTTGTCAAATGAAAAGATATTCTTAAACATTTACAAAATGTGAGGGGGTCTACTCACTTCTGTGATATACTGTATATTATATCGGGGGTGTTTATGCTATGATGCCTGTGTGTATACATAAATACAAATAAAGTGGACTTCAAGCACATTTTATTAAACCACTTTTGTAAGGCAGGCTATAACAAAACAAACATATGAAATAGTGTCCTAGAACCAAACTTTTTATTTAGCAGTGCTGTGAAAATAAATTGGGTAGCTAAACTATCCATTACATGCTTTAGCTCATATAACTGGGATAACTGGGAATGTCTCACTGTTTTGTACTAATCAATAGTACAATGATCAGTGCAAAGTATTAAGACATTCAATTCATCCAATAGGTATTCTTTTGTCCTTATTTCATGCCATCATTATTCTCTGACTTCAACTTCCCAATATCCAAAGCTTCCTCCAAAAAATCCATCCACACAAAACAAATAACAAAGAGAATTCAGAAAATGAATATTCTGTTCAAACAAATTCAGACTTAGTGCCCTTCCAACTTTTTAAAGTTACTGGAGTGAAATAGTTAATGCTCAGGGCAATTAATCAGATTCTTTTGTAGGAGATGCATTAACAGAGAAAGCAAAAATGATTATGAAATTAGGGAGGGGCAAGGATTAAACAGAAGAAGACTACATAAAACATAATAAAATTAGCATTAGCACTCCCCCATTTTCTTTCTTAAAAAAATATCACAAAAGCTTATTGTGAACTTGGGTGCAAATTAAAATATGTTTATTACTAAGCTAAAGTTATAATAAAGGTTGACGTTAGAAATGACATTAAATGACAAAGGATGGTGAAATCCCATCTCACAAACCCCACTACCCACAAACACCCAAGTACCACCAGAACTTTTAGGAATGACAATGGTTGGCAGCTGTTTCAGAACAGACAAAAAAAAAATATTCAGCAAAAACTATTTTTTCACTACTTCAAGCTAAGGTGTGGTCACAGAACTGTACTCTAGATAATACTGAAATCTTACTACAATTTCAATTTTCAAACAATTTTAGGCTTTGTAATACACTAGGTAGGCACCCACAGAAGTAACAGTAAATCCAAATGTTTTGTCCTTTGAGAATTGAATGGAATAACCATTACTGTAGAATATTGAGGCAACATATATATTCTTGAAGGTTCGTCTTTCACGTCTCAAGGTTACCAGGCATGTGAACGCCTCTCTCAAAATAAGAGAATCCTAGAAATTATGAGATCACAAATGCAACTCTTTATACATACTCCAGGGCTTCCCGGGAGTTTATGCATTACACAAAAAAAATCAGGAGTTCCAATTATTCCTCCCTTCCCCCTGCCCACCCCAGGATGATGAGGTAGGTGCTGTTGTTTTAATGGTGAGAGAAAGCAGTTCACTCTGTGGCAAATACTCTGGCCTCTTGGCTATATTTAAAAAAAAGGGCCAGGAGGAATTCCAGGGATTTTTGTAGTGAGATAAAAAGAACTCTTGACCTTTTTCACAGAGAAAGGAGAAGGAGCTGCTTCCATAATGAACAGGGCTTAAATTTTAAAGGCAGGGGCCATGGGGAAACTTCTGAAGTTTGCCACAGGCAGGACTGTGCCCTTAATTCTTTCACCCTTGTTGCTAATTCTGTTGTCTCAACCTCAGAAAAAGGCAACCAAAGTAGCTAGTGAGACATAATTCTTCACTTTCCACATCTATAAAGCATGGGCAGCACAGAACAGCCGCCGTCTGGTTAAGGGGGCGTGGGGAGAGAGAAAGAGGGAGAGAGGGAGGAAGACCCACCCTCCGTGATGCACCTACGACTTCTCTGCCTGTCACAAGAATGGGAAGAGAGTCCTTGACATCAAATACAGCATACAAAGAGAGGGCAGGAGCCACAGAGTATATACTCACCACCTAAAAACAAGCTCATGACAATACCTCTGTTTTGTTCTTCATTTCCAGCACGGATTTGTCTTTATATAAACCTGCAGAAGTCTTAACAGCATGTTCACCCAACAAAACGAGGCTTAATTTTGCTCCGTGTCCTCACAAGGCAGGTCACCCTTATCCATTTCTCCTTCTCTCTGGGAAGGCAGAAGTACACCTTTCCCTTCTCACACGGTCTTGTGTTCTTGGTCCTGCCCACCCAAACCCTCCCCCCCCTTTCTAAAAAGGTAGTGGGAAAACAATAGGCGAAAGTCTAAGAATATTTACTAACTGATAATCTCTTCACGTATTGCAGCAGTCTGTTTTTCCCTTTTCTGATAAAGATTTCAGAGCCAACCACTTCTGCCAACCAAAGAGGGGGGGAAGGCTGGTGCTTGGGCTCTAATCTTAGCACTTACCATTCACCTGCTGAGGGGAGTAAGCTTCGGATCCGGAGTCTGGGGGAGAGTCGGGTAAAGTGCTGAAGAGCAATTGAGAAAAAGAGAGGAAAAGGTCAAACAAATGTCTAGCAGAAGTGATAAGGTAAAATAGATTCTGAATCCTAGGTAGATGGTCTGAGAGAGCATACAGCCCCATTATCTACACCACCCTTGGTTAGTAGAAATTAATTATGAATTTGTCATCAAGGTTCTTGAATACAAATGCTTCTGAACCTGAACTCAATCTTATCTTCAATATAGCAGGTCATCCAGTAACAATTCCCTTCCACCAAAAGCCCTTAATTGCCAATAGCTGTTCCTGCCCAGAGTAGCAAGAAACCTTCCATTCTTAACACTCCAAACAATTTACCACAGCCCTTCCCCAATGAAAGAGATTGGGTACTTTAGTAGGTATTCTCTCATTCCCTTACTATTCCTATCAGGAGCATTTTTATGTATTATTATTAGGCATTTTATGTCATGGCTTTTGTTTATCTGCTAAAGAGACCCACCCTACTTCACTCAGCATGTCTGAAAGAAGCCAGACAGAATCTGTTGCTCAAGAAGATCACCACCATCTTCACCACAAATACAGAGAAGGACCCACTGACAATATTTCTGTAAATCTATGGGTCAAATGGTAGTTTCATCAAGTAGCCCTGAGATCACACAGAAAGCAATTTCAAGCAAAACTAACTCAAAAATAACAAAGAATATGAATTAGATAAAAGAATCGTCCAAAGATTCCTCAGGATCAAGCAACTTATTTCACTTATTTCACTGCCCCTTTATTTCTTAATTCAGTGAAACCAGGCAAAACTTCTAGTCCTGATAGTTATTCTATAGACAGGTATAGGGATTTAACTGACTTTCTCAATTATATGGAGCTGAAAGTTTACATGATGCCTTTTTATACAAAGTCCTTTCTTTTAACTAAGCTTTCATATCTGTAAGTCTGAAGGTGGATAGATTTGTAGAGTATACAGATTATAAGATTCTCAACTTATGACTGTTCATTTAACAACAGTTCAAAGTTGCAATGGCCTTGGAAAAAGTGACATGACCTGTACTCAGACTTATGTCCATTGCACCACCCCCTCTATCATGCGAGTGCAAGTCTTCATTGGCAACTGGCGGTTGCAGCATCCTGCAGACATGCGATTGTGATTTGCAAACTTTTTGTTGCCCATTGGGGAAGTTGGATTCGTTTAATGACTGCATGATTCACTTAACTATTGTGGTGAATTGCTTAATAACCACTGTAAAAGTTGTTGTAAAATTGGGCGCAACTCAACTTGTAACTGCAATGACTTGCAGTGGAAATTCTGGTCCCAACTTTGGTAAGTAAGTTAAGGATTACCTGTGCCACTCATTTTTTTTTTTAAACATAGGTGGTAAAATATTTACCACAATTTTCCATAAGCACTTCAAATTGTACTAACTTCTGTAGTTCATCCTGAGAAATTTGATTTTAGAAAATGAAAAATGTTAGATTATTAGTGGATATATTTGGTACACAAACTTAAATTGGATAAGGCTATGTATACTTTGTTGGAAATGAGAAAAAAAGCCTTCGATATTATGCAATTAAAATTTCTGAAACATGTTTTTCTCAGATATGGTTTTCCTTCCAATTTAATTGATTGCATTAAAATGTAGCCCAACCTATTGTTCTTATTGCTCTAATCAGTTCTTCGCTATTAGGATATCCAGGTAGTTCGTTTTCTTCCCTTTTACTGAATTTGATTTTGGAATCTTTCATCTTATATATTAGGCAACCTAAGTATACTTTGGGTATCAAGACAGCCACAGTAAAGTTTAAATTGTTGTCATATGTCAATGCTATTCTATGTCTTCCTGATAATTACTAAAACTCTGTATCAAAATTAAGCATATTGTACAACACTATGGTAAATTATCAAGTTATTCTTATAATGAAAAAAATGTATAACATATTTCCTATTATATCTAGATCTCTATGGATGTTTATAAAAATTCATCTTGTTTAACTCATTTCAGTACTTCAGAATAGTTATTTGTAGAACAGTTTCCTCACTGACAGAGGTTAATATTCTTAATTGTGTCAGGACTCTGACATGCACCGACTCTGACAAATTGTCTTTCTCAGATTAATATTGCTGTAAATAAATGATTAAACATCTACATCAGCTTTTAGGAAAGAATAAATATATAAGTTGAAAGTGAAGCATTAGCAGCATTCCAAACCACTAAATATTAATATTGTAGAAAAAGGTTTATAGATTATCAATTTGGAAACTTGCAAATAACTTGGAAAAAATGTTTTAGTAAGCCAACTGACTAGAGTTTTAAAGAGTGTTTCATTAGCATTCTACGAGCTTAAGGTAAAATTAATATAAAAAAGGATTATTTGGGGGGGAGGGGTTTACAGGCTTCACCTGTGGATATATAGTATGGATTGGCTTTCAATTTCTCTGTTAGAAATGTAATATTTTCAAGGAGATTTGTATGTTTTGGATTTGTTCTGCGGTGGCAACATTCATAATGTTGTTAACAGGGTGAGAAAAAAGAACCAAGAGATAAAAGTGTGAGTGTAATATTATACTTTAGGAAATATGAAGAATTGATTTACCATGAGTGGAATATAGCTAAACAGGTGAAAAAACATTAAATTTGATCTAAAAATTTGAATGGAAGACATGCATTCATTCACTTTCTACCTATAAAGTGGCATTTTACTAGTATTTTGTAAAGTCCAATCAATATTACTCCATGTGGTATAGGTTTAAACTTTTTTTTTTAAAAAAATTCATCATTATTTTTCTTTCTGGTTCATTTTACCTGAGTCTTTCCTCCCATCTTCTTTTAATTTTGTCTATTTTTTTGGTATATTAAATACTACAATACAACATTTAAAAAGTTGAACAGTCTACACATAAGCACCCAACTCATATAAAATAGACTCAAGAAAGATGCCAAGTTTTATAGTTTCTGTTAAATTGTTAAGTATTTACAAAAAATTGTAATTTTACTAATATATTTGTATTACCTCAGTCTGCAAGGAACATTACAGACTAATAAACAGAGTAGGAAATGATTTAAATTCTTTTGGATTTACTTCAAAGTGCAAAATATTTTCAATAAATGTCATTTTTAAAATTGAAAATGAATTCTTCAAAATTAACAGCTAGTTCTTGGTGCATTTCAAAACAAACCTATCTGTTCTATGAGGCAGCCTTGCAAGTTTCTAACAGGTCAGTGAGGTCAGTCCCAGCTTAAAAGTCTGATTCAATATATACCTTCCAGCAGCTGATAACAACTGCTATCAATACTGAATGGCAAAGTCAAGTAAACAGAAATAAGCCAGTTTAAAGTGAGTACAAAAGAAAATATAGTAAAACCCAAGTAGAAAATGAGTTAATAGAGAGTCAGTTCAGGACAGTGGTGGGATTCAATTTTTTTTACTACCGGTTCTGTGGGTATGGTTTTGTGGGCATGTAAAATCTGCAGTCAGAGGTGGTATTTGCTGGTTCTCCAAACTACTCAAAATTTCCGCTACCGGTTCTCCAGAATTGGTCAGAACCTGCTGAATACCACCTCTGGTTCAGGACAACTCTGAATTTCTCACCTGGGTGGGATAATCACAGTAATTGTCTGAAGAGTAGCTCACTAGTTACAGTTATGCCATAAACTTTTAGAACAGTACTAATATCTAATCATTAGTTGAAAATTCTGGCTAGACTACTATGTGACTTTTGTATTTGTTTTCTTCTGTACCAGAATTTGTTTTCTTAAAATATTATAGGTCATCTTTCAAAACCTAAAGCTGCCTCATAAAACTATATGGAATACAGTTTTGATTCCTTTTATCACTCATTGTATTCTATTTATCTAGAGAAAGTTCATAGACTTTTCACAATTACATTCAGACTATTAAAATACCCAGAACAATCAAGTCCCTAGCCATAGTTCATTTAAACATTTAAAGTTAATGGACCTAACAATTTGCATAAAAGCTCACTGTCTTTACTTTTCATGATGACAAAGAAATAGTGAAAACGCTAGTTTTCATAAAGCAGATAAGGTTTTGAAATTAAGAAAACTTGAATATGAAAATGAAAGTGGAGAAGGATATGTTACTTCAGAATTATTAGTTCCTATTTCTTGTATTTAAACTTATGTTTATTCTTGTTTCTGTTGTATTGTAAGCTTTTGACAAATTAAAAAAAATAAGAATGGTTTACAGCACCGAACATATTTTAGTTTAGTCTAATAAAAGAATTAGAAAGCTTGTTGAAGACAGTGAAACAATTAACATGCAAACTGAAATATATTTTAATTTGAAATAGAAGACAAGAATGTGAGGTTTTAGGCACAGACTTAAAAATGATGATAGACAGCACAGGGGAAATTTTTTCTGTCCTCAAGACACCAACCAAAATTATTCTTCTGAATAATGATTTATCAGTATGTTACTTGCCCCCAATAAGGTCTGCCTACTTTGTTGTTGTTTTTCTACAGGTGGGTATACTTTCAAACAAAAGTTTGGTCTACAGCTACCTATCAGTTTTTATTTTTTCTTAAGGCCCATAGAGGTGAACTCACCATTCTTCTAAGCAGTGGTGGGATTCTAATTTTTTTCCTACCGGTTCTGTGGGCATGGTTGGTGGGCATGGCAGGGGAAGGATACTGTAAAATCTCCACTGAGAAGTGGTAATTGCCGGTTCTCTGAACTACTCAAAAGTTCCGCTACCGGTTCTCCAGAACTGGTCAGAACCTGCTGAATACCACGTCTGCTTCTAAGGCACCAAATTAAACAGGGTACCAGTTCTCAAGGAAAAAAACAAATCAAAACTGCCCTTTGAGATTTGTGAATGGTGGCAGCAACTGCAAGGTTTGCCTAGCAGCTATCTAGGGCTGCCATTGAGTATGGAGTCCTGTAAGATCTAAAGCTATTCATATGGGGGGGGGGGGGGAGAGATGACGCAGAAGGCTATGTTTTGCTTTGTAGTTATATGCTTACTTCTCACTTTTTAAAAAACTAAATAACATTTTAAAGGGTAATCAGTCAAGACAGACAACCTGGCAAGTGGGTGTTCTTATGGGTATCCCAGATCTATGCTGTTCTTTTGGTTTCATTTCTCTCTGTATGACCTTTATTGACCAGATACATGATCTGGGATTTCAAGATTTGAAAAGTTAGTTGGTTGGTTGGTTGGTTGGTTAGTTAGTTAGTTAGTTAGTTAGTTAGTTAGTTAGTTACTTACTTACTTACTTACTTACTTACTTTATTTATTTATTTATTTGCAATATAACAGAAACAAGAATAAACATAAGTTTAAATACAAGAAATAGGAACTAATAATTGGGGACAATAGGACAGGGACGGTAGGCACAATTGTGCGCTTATGCACGCCCCTTACAGACCTCTTAGGAATGGGGTGAGGTCAATAGAGGTTTGTTTGAGAGTAAAGGAGTGGGGGTTTGAGCAGATGACAACAGAATCAGGTAGTGAGTTCCAGACATTACTTGGGGTAGTCTTTACATTACTTGGGGTAATTACATTACATTACAATTTGGGGTAGCCCTAATCTTATCTAAATATGCATATTTTGAAAATCAAGACAAAACATTTCAATCTGTCAGTCATTTAGGTGACTGAAAAGAACGTTCTTTTTTTGATGATTGTTATCTCTGAGCAATTAAAAATTAGAAATGGTCAAAATCTCATGAGATTTCAACATTTTTTTTAAAAAAATTGGGGTGCGTGAGTGCCATCTAGTGGTGTTACATCTGTCATAATGCCTGCCTGCCATAATGCACGAGAAATCCCAGGTGTGAACTATGAAGTAAAGGTACACACTGGAATAAATTCCTTATAGGTGATAAACACAGTTCCTCTTATTTGATGGGAAAAATTGTAAATACAAAAAAACCATTATCTAGTCTTGGTCAGACTAAGATAAGAAAGGTCTAATGGTGCATTTTGGTATAAGATGTCTTCAGGACACACATCCAAATATAGTGTTATCTCAGGTTAGCAAGGGAAGTCCAGATCTATCTACTTTCTCAAGCCCATCTTCCAGTTTTTAACTCTTCTGTAGGAATCAACTCAAGCCTAACTAATCTCATCTGCTCCAATCTCATCAATTGCATGCTTTAAATTTTGTGACTCATCCTTCTTTAGCAGATTAGAATATCCATAAATGTTTTGTGGAATTATTCTGTCAACAGCTAGGAAGCATTGCTAAGCCAATATTTAGCTGACTTTATAAGCATAATGGTTTCCATAAGAAATCTGAATTATTGGTCATTTTTGTTTCACAATTATTTTTTTCTGGGAAATTTCTTTATAATATTTTTTCCTGCCTATCTTATACAGCCTTTTGGTTTTCTATTTTGGCATTATTTTCACATACCCCTACCAAATTGCAATGAAGGTCCCAACTGTCTTTATACTCTCTCTTGCAGAAGTCAGCAAATATATAATTCCTTTAAATCTTTTCATATGCAGATAACAGATAACAGATAATCAGAGTTGGAAGGGACCTTATAGGTCATCTAGTCCAACCCCCCACCCAAGCGGGAGACCCTACACCATTTCTGACAAATGGCAGTCCAATCTCTTCTTGAAGTCTCAACTTCTGAGGGCAAGCTGTTCCATTCTCTTTTCCACTGAAACAACATACTACATCTCTGTTCAAAAAAATGAAATTTGACCTGGATTCCACATATTAGTCAAAAGGATTTATAATGTAAACCCACATATGATCTAGTTCAGTTACCTAAAACTGAGTCACACTTTTTTTCCTAGTCTCCCTGTGTAATTCCCTCATGTTATGTTTGAAGACTAAGTTGACATTGGTTGGCAAGAGACATTACAGATTTGTTCAAATTGTTTTAAGTCTTTAACCACTTTATTTATCAATCTAAGGCTCTTGAAACTTATATTTGCATAACCACAATCCGTTACTTACCCGGATGTGTAGGAGGCTTCTGATTTGATTGGAGGAGGAAGGTTGGACAGGCAGTGGCCACTGAGAAACCCTTTGGGTACTACCATGCCATTGTTGTTATTGCAGTTGAGATGAGCACTGTAACTGGACCCACATGGATTTGGCAAGGGGGGACCATGCCGTATTGGAACTTGACTGCTTGAAGGGCCAGGATGGAGACCATGACGGACTGGAACTTGGGTGCTTGGGGGACCATGATGGAAGTTACCATTGGGTACAGGAGTAATTACATGACCAACACTGGAGACAGATGCATTGACAAGGGCAGAGTTGGCAGGCTGAGTATGAGGATAACTGACTGATGCGGGAATGTCAGAGATGGAATCTAAATCAGAACTGAAAGAGAAAAGTTGAACCATTTGTATAATATGTGCATCTTGCCACTCTGACACAATATAAAGACTATATTTATTTTTCGTCATATACATTATTGGATTCAGCCATAATGTCAACCCAGGATTTTTAACCATGGTTTTTCTTTTTTGAACAAGTATATTGGCTTGATCTGCACATCTAACTAACTCTCAGTGGATAGGTCCAAACATAAAGGAAAGCCAAAAGCAAAATATGCCATATTCCATATTTAGGAAAATATGTGAAAGTGCTGAAAATAATGGAAAGAAAGATTAAAAAAATATTAGCTCACATCACCATAACCTCAAATGCAATCCTCTTATCACTCTTATATCAAACAACATCATGGAGCATTAAGAATAAAATTGAAAAAGGGCCCTTACATATCTTGTGAGTCCTCTTTACCAATGTATTCTTCCAGGATGCTGGTGTCAATGTTTGATGCTTCAAGAGCTCCATTAATATCATGACCTGAAGGAAAGACCAGATATCAGATAAAATAGCAAAAAAAAAAAAAAAAAAACCACATAAAAAAAACCCAGACAAGATCGATAATTTTTTATAAGGAAAGACAGAATTCTGATAATTCCCCATAACAAAACTTCTGATTTAAATAACAAAATTTACTTTAAAATGTTAATTGAAGTGGAAATCCAACCCAGATGATAAAAACTGAGTATTTATTACTCTAGAATAATCAGCTGGAAGAATGGAAACCATTTCATTCACAAAGCTTCATGCATCTAGAATAAAATATGCATCCATATTTGAACCAGTATGTATATAACATATATAGTGGTAAGGATGACAGGTTAAAAAAATGGAGCTAGAATTGACACTCTAAATCATGTAGTTTGAATACAAAATGTGTTGCAAATGTTGATGAAGATTCTCAGTCATCCAGGCAGAGATGTCTGAAGGTTGTCTGAAATTCTCTGAAGGATGTAATCTTTGTAACTGGATTAATTTTTCATCTCAGAGACATTTCACTGCTCATCCAGGCAGCTCCCTCAGTCAGCGCAAGGCAGGTAGGCAATGGATTATTTCCTAAAATGATTCAATGATTCAACTTTCTGACATCTCTGCCTGGATGATTGAGAATCTTCATCGTCAAATCATGTGGTTTGTTTCTACAAAAAGCTACAAATTATTAAGATGATTTATTCCAGAGGTGGTATTAGGAATGATAGTCACCTAACAGTTGGGTTTGCAATATATAAATCAGGATAGTTATTTAATACTGTTGTATCTTTAAGAGAATGCTTTAATTGTGATTGGTTGAGGTTCCTCTGACGGCCATAAGATGGAACCAGAAACCTGGTTTGTTCTCTTCTTGCATTTCCCTATTGCCTTTTGCCTGATCATCGTTCTGCTTGGATTGCTGTGAGTCTTGCAAACTGTTAGCAAACTCCGTTTACGGAACTTTGTTTATGATACTGGACTTCGTTTTTGGATTATCCCTGGACTGATTGTATTGAATACTACCTGCTTTAACCGTGTATGATTTGGACTGTTTGTTGGACTTTGTTTACCCGTTTACTGGAAGTAAAACCTACATTTTACTATTCAGTGTCTCTGTATGCTGGTTGTGTGTTATTCCTCATCACACTCACTATGTTTCCCTGAGTGCACTCATTCGCCTAACAGGGAATACCTCAACACTGGTTATGGGCCCAGACTCAGATAACTGAGAATTAGTGTGAATACACAGTACCGTATACAAACAGCTGTTTACTGTTTAATTATGGGTTACTGTCCTGGTAAAGATGGCACAAGACCCGTCAACAAGTCTATCACTGATAACCCAGTTGGATGGAACAAACTATGTTTCCTGGTCTATGAAGTGCAGTCTACTTCTGCATAGGGAAGAGTTATGGGCTGCAGTTCAGGATCCACCAGATGTAAATGCTTGGGATCCACATAATGAGGACGATGCCAAAAAGTTAGCTGACTTTAAACGGAACAACGAATGAGCTCTTTGTATAATTGGACTAACACTGAGTGAGCAGCAGCTAGTCCATATTAGTGGAGAAGAGTCTGCTGTGTTGGGATAATTTGAAGAGGATTTATGTTCATGACAGTGTAGGTGCACACATACATCTTACACGTCAACTGTTTAGAGCATGTCTTCTGAAAGGTGGAGATATGTTAGCTCATTTGAACTTCATGAAAAGAACTTTTCAAGAGCTACATGAAAAGGAACTGATATTTTCAGAGCTACATCAGGTTTACATCATTCTTTCCTCATTGGATGAAAGTTATGATGATTACGTATCTTCACTGGAAGTCCTGACCAGAAATGAACTGACATTGACTGACATTTGTTTTTACTTGGTAAAAGTTTTACTTAGTTAAAAAAAAAGTTTCATTAATTTTTTTATATATGTTAATATATTATGGGTGTGATATTGCTATTTTTGCATGATTCAATAAATAAATACTCAACAATTGGATCCAATTTAATTTTTATTACAGTAAATTTCAATAAATATAACTCATACAAACACAAGCTCTTTTGGAATCCTCCATATTTTTTAAAAGTGAGAAGAGGTCCTAAGAACACAAAGTTTAAGAAATGTGCTTTAAATGTGCCCTTCTCTTCTACTTAGAACAATCATTCCAATTTCAAATCAGAAAAGTAGAATAGAACTTTCAATATCAATCCTATCTGGAAATGTCCCTATATCAGTGCCACCATACCTCTTGCAGTTCTTGGCACTGAGCTTTTAAGTTTCATAAATTATTATTTTTATTATTATTTTTAAAAAGAGCAAAAAGACTATCTCATGCTGCCTCAATTGGTTCCTTTTTTCATTGTCTTACAAAATTCCCTTCTTGCTTTTGGAGTGCAAAAATGCACTGAGTTTCTTGATAGAAAATGCTTGCTTTATATAATTCCTGAAAGCCAGAAGCTCTCTGGACTTTAGATACTACTCCTGGTGCTTAAAATATTTTCAGGGAGAAGAGCCGCTATTCAGAGACCCAATAAATTAAAGACATTTTCCTGAATTCTCATCGTAACAGATTAAAATGCTTCTCATCTCAACAGATTAAAATGCTATGCCGTTTGCTCGCTAGATAAGCACGCACATACAATTTCCCACCCCAAAATCTTCTTTTACCTTCCCCACCTCCACAAGAAGCATTCTGGTTCAAGATTAATCCTCCATTCCCACACCCTCCTAAAGGGAAAAAAAGTGGAATAAAACAAAAAGAGGTGGTTTCATCCTAGAATTGCATCCAATGAAAATCTTTTTCACTGCTAGGCAAACAAATCAACAGAAATAAATGGAGGCTAAAACATATGAAGAATGGTTGTAGGAACTGGGTATGTCTAGTCTAGTCTAGTCTAATGAAAAGAAGGACTAGGGAAGACATGATAGCTATGGTCCAATATTTCAGAGGCTTCCACAAAGAAGAGGGAGCCAAGCTATTCTCCAAAGCCCTTGAAGGCAGGACAAGAAGCAACGGGTGGAAACTAATCAAGGAGAGAAGCAACTTAGAACTAAGGAGAAATTTCCTGACAGTTAGAACAATTAATCAGGGGAACAACTTTCCTCCAGAAGTTGTGAATGCTCCAACACTTTTTAAGAAGAGATTGGATAACCATTTGTCTGAAGTGGTGTAGGGTTTCCTGCCTAGGCAGTGGGTTGGACTAGAAGACCTCCAAGGTCCCTTCCAACTCTTGTTATTTTATTCTATTCTAAATCCAATGAGGAATTTTGTCAGACGAATCTGTGAGTGTGCTTAAAAAGGGAGAGAGTGAAAAAGGAGAGAATCAGGGTTTGGCTTTTTTTTGGTGGGGGGGTCACACAAAGTAGGGAAAGAAAGGGCTGGAACATGATGTAATGAGAAAGCCTCCGGTTCTGTATTTGCCACCCTGCAAAGAATCCACTAAATCAAAATCACTTCATTCTCTGCTTATTATTATTGAAACATCTGTTAATTATGCCTATCTTCTTTTTTAACTGGTAATATTTGTATTCTATCCTGCATAGTTTTTCTTACCTTTAACTTATATTTTTTTAAAATTTCTTACAGGATGGAATTGACCCCCACTTGCATGGTTAGCAACTATTAAAAGCATTACTTTTTTAAAAATAATGTTTTAAGTCACTTGTCAGATTACTTAACAAATGCCTTTTCAAGAGTCCAATGGCAATGTGTTACTTTCCCTCTTTCAATCATTTGAAGTATCAATACATTTAGAGGCATGTTTTCCATTATAAGCATTACACTTATTCTTCCATGTGGTGCAAATAGATCTTTCTGATGAAGCTGCAATGTATAATCCCACCCAATTATTGCTTAGTATCAACTGTAAACTGGCTACAATAGCTTCTTCAACATATGAAGATTTTTAAAAGTTTGTATTGTGTGAATATGGCCTTATGTGTCCCCTTTCCAGCTCTACTCTTCAGCCATGCCATTCTGATTTGCAAGTATCCCCATTAATACTCATTCACTAAGATTAGGAAGACCCTTAAATAAAGTTTAGAGCATTTGTATTGCTTTTTCCCCCCCAACAGAGATCAGCAGAAGTTTTTCCAGGAAGACAACAATCACGACATGAAACTAAGTATTAATTCAATGTCCAGTAAATACTGTGGTCAGTTTTCATTTCCATTCTGTTCAGATACAGCATTTGGAAATAAATCTTAAAGGTGAAATGAGTATTAAAAATATAAGAATATAGCTAAACTCAACAAGGCAGTATAATTTTTATTCTTTTAATAGTAGAAGAATTTATTTGATATCCATTCTGAACAAATTATGTTGCAACAATCTTAGCTCTTTATTTTCTAACATTTGAAAGCAATAAATTGATTGTCTAAATTTAGTAGGCAAATTTGTAAGGATACAAATCAGAAGTAAATAAAGAATTCAAGTGAGAAAAGAAATCTATTTCTGTGTTGTATGTGCATGTTGGATTATAACACACATGTTCAGAAAGAATGGCATATTGCTTTTCCTAGCCAAAAAGTCATGTGTGGATCTGGCAAAATAAATAACAAGCTTTTCATTGTGGCTGAACCACTGTGGTATTAATTTTTAGCTTGAGAGGTAAATCTGCCAGCCATCTTGTCTTGAAGGTCACCTTCTTGAAGAACCTCAAAAGGAACTCAAGCATAGGTGAGATAAGCAACCAGAAGCAGGACGTGTTTTGGTTGGATACCTTAGGAACTAGAGAACTGATAAGCAATTCTTTTTTTCTAAAAGTGCCAAGTCCTGTACTGGTGTTTTGATAAGGAAGAGCTTTTCATTTCTTACTTAAAAATAAGCAAAGTCTCTGAAGAGTTTTTCCCAGCTTTAGGTGAAAGGAACTTGAATTAACCACCCTAAATTAGCATTGGCTGACATGTCATTCCAAGTGCCTCAATATGTTATTTTTCCCCGTGCTTTCATTGCCTTAATACACAACTCTTAAAAGTCTTTATGCAAACAAAAACAATGGGTTCAATTTTATTTTC